CTTGGAGGGAACCTTCTCCCTTCCTGAGTCAAGGGGCAAGGGACAGCCCTGAGGCCCTTGGAGCCAGTGGCAAAGGTATAGAGTTGGAATATTTGTAGAGTAGCCCCTCCCAAAATCAAGGAGGGGCCGCAGAGACTGTCATTATGGGCCTGGCCACACCAGGGCAGGGACTGGCTCAGGAAGAAGCTTGGATGGAAGGCAGAGGATAGCGGAGGAGCCTTGAACTGGGGGCCAGCGGAGCCAGAGAGTGACAAAGCGCTTGCCGGCTGCTCCCTTCGCCTCTGAGCTGTCCTGATGGCAGCTGGGGTGGGGCTGGGAGGGGAGGGAAGAGGGCAGGGAGGGGGGACTGCCCAGCTGGAAGAGGCCTTGTCTAATTGTGCCTGATTAGTAGAGAGGAAGAGAACAGGGTGAGTGATTAATAGTCACGGCAGTCACCAGCGTGTGGGAGGGAGGGTTGGGAGGGGGAGAAAAGTCTGAGAGCCGAGAGGGGATGGAGACAGGGAAGCACCTACAGGTCCCTGGTCACCTGCCCCTCCAGGGGCTGCTGGGACCCCTGATGACCTCATGGAGACGGGCTGGCCCTACCCCTGCCTCCTCAAGGATTTTCCACCTTCCCCATGCCTCAGTTTTCTAGACAATAGGATGGAAAAGACCAAGGTCATGTCCCGCACCTGGGAAGAAGTTGTATCTGCTCACATGTGTTTCCAGACACCTTGATATCCCCAGAAACTGGCCCCCTCCTCAGCTCAACCTGGGACCTCAGCCCACAGAGTAGATGGCCGGACTTCCAATCACAGACCACCGCCATCTCCTTATATCATTTGATGCCAGTTGGAATGCCTAGCCCTGCCCAACGTGGCAGCCTGAACCTCGTTCCCAGGACCACCTGGAGCTGCACTGTCCAATAGACAGCCACTGACCCCAGCTATTTGAATTGATCTTTCATTCTCTCTGTCACACTAGTCACATTGCAGATGCTTAATAGCCAGTGTGGCTAGTGACTACCATGTTGGACAGCACAGTTGCAGAACATTAACATCACCACAGGAACGAAGCTCGAGTGTGTGTGTGTGCACTCCTGCATGTACGCATGTGTGCCCCTGGATAGCATGGGGAGGGGGTAGGAGGGAGTTGGGGCCTGAGGGTGAAGAGAGGAGGAAGGCTAGGTGATGGAGAGTAGCGAAGATGCCAGCACGTGGGTCAGAAAATAGCAGGTGGTGCTGGGAACAGGCAGGTGAAAGGAAGCCAGGAACCGGGGTGGTTGCACTTATACCAGCTGACACGCTCAGAGTGCACAATTCACGCGTGCCAGCCAGTGTGCTCAGCCCTTTACGGCCATCTCTTTTAATCCTCACAACCACTCACATTATTTTAGGTTCTAGTATCCTATTTAACGAATATAGAAACTGATGCTCATGGAAGCTTTTTGACTTCTCAAAGACCACACAGTTTAAAGGCCACACAGCCAAAGCTCGAATTCAGGTGGTCTGGCTCTGGAACCCAAACACTTGACCACTCCACTGTACAGTCCCCAGCTGAGAGGAGACACTGAGTTTTAGAGCCACATTTTGCAGCTGAAGAAACGAAGCCTAGGGAGAAAGAGTGATTTCTGCCTTCTAGTAAGTGGGCAGGCTGAGAGCAAGCCGCATTGGGGAAAGTACAGATGAGGCTTGGCGCACTTGTGTGGAGGGAGCGGATGGTGGTAGGACTCTAGGAGGAAGGAGGAGAACATTATAGGTGGTGGTGAAAGGAGGAGGTGGAGTGGGCTGGCATGAGACTGTGAGGAGCGGAGAGAGGGAAGAGAAGAGATGGGGGAGATAGGTGGAGGGGAGCACGAACAGAGAGGTGGGAGCATCCCCCACCACCCAGGAGCCATCTCCACTCTCCCACCCCCTCCCCTCCCTTCCTCTCCAAACCCTGCCCAGCCTGCCTCACCCCTTAAGCCTTCCCAGCCCTCTTCAGTCCAGAGTGGCCTCTCTCTCTGAACTCAGGCTCTTACTATCCATGTACCTCGTTTGGCAATTAATCCTGCCACCTCCTGACACTGTCTGCATGGTTGGTTAACTCTTGCATGGTTGGTTAAGCTTTTTAAGTGTCCCTATCCTCGCTCCACCAGGAGACTGGAGGCTGCCTGAGGACAGGGACTGGGGACCAGGGCTCCCCTTCTTTGTTCTCCCCCACAGACCTGGCAGGGAGCCTGGCACATAGTAGGTGCTCAGAACTCCATGTTGATTGATTGAATGACTGATGGGGAGTCAGTGAGGGGACATTAGGGAGCATGGGGATGAGAGCAATTGCAGTGGTAACAGAAGCAAGAGCAGCAGCTGAGGGGACTGGGGGAGGGTGCATTACCCAGAGTAAAAATAGGCTGGAAAATGTGACATTTATTAACTTGGATTCCAGAGGAAAGGTCATAGCAGAGTGGGGAGTGGGAAGGAGGAAACGGAAAAAGCAACAGAAAACACATAAGAGCCCCTGACCCAAAGCCTGTCGCTATCACTGACCATCTCACCACCCATGCCCTGGCAGCTTCCCACCACTCATCCCCGTACCCGTCTCCCCACCATAGATGCCAAATCCCCATCGCACCTTCCGTGTTCTCACCACAGAGTCTATTAGGGACCTCATATCCTCATCAGAGACCCTGTGTCTTTGTGTCCACGTCCTTCTCAGTCTTGCTGCCACAATACACCCCATCTTTCCCAATGCCACGGATCATGGACTCCCATCCCAACCTATAATCCGAGACTCTGGTAAACTGTCAGAAGACTCAACCCTAGAATGCCAGGTCCAAGGGAGAGTTACACTCAGAAGGATGGGGTTTGGGGTTTGAGCAGAATGTAGGAGGACTAGGCTGGGTGGGGACAGGGGAGTCGGGTCCAAGGGGAATTCCTGTCCCCCAGTATTTGCTTTTCTTGACCACCCCTCACCATGCCACCGCAGCCCCAGAGCAGAGACCCACAAACTTCTATCCTTTTCTCTCTAATCTCAGGGTAGGAGAAGTCCTGTGGGAGAGCCACCCTCACCCCTGCCCAGCCATCTCCAGATTCAGAGGGACTTGCCAGCCTTGAGCAGGGGACCCCTGTTCCCATATCCTCCAGGTATCTCCTTTCCTAGAGGCCAGGCAGGAACCCCCTGCCTCCTTCACCTTGCTTCCTTGCCCCTCCATCTCTTCCTCCCCCACCTCCCCTCCCACTGAGGCTTCACCACTCTTCCTCTTTCCCTTCCACCCCCAGCCGGGGCCTGGGACACAAACTCCCACTCAGGGACACAAAGCCCCCATTGATTCCTGCCCCAATAACACCTGCTGAGACTGGGCTCTGTCTGTGCCCCCCCCAACCCAGAGGGGTGAGGATGTCGCACAGAGGAGCCCCACGGACCGGAAAGGCCACATTCACACACTCCTCCTTGGGGACAATCGCAGCCCTGGCTTTGAGAGCAGTGATTTTTCCTAGAAGGCAGGGTGTGTAGCAGGGTGTGTACAACAGGCTAGTACCCCCTTGACTCCTCTCCCAGCACAATCTTCCTTCCCATCCCTCCCTCCACTTCTACCCAATTCCCCCCAACCCAACGGCAGGAGGACCCAGAGGCTGCAGGGATGGTGGGGGCAGGAACACGCGTGGGACATGTTTCCTGGTGCTACTGAGGCAGTGAGTGAGTGAGAACCTGGGTGGGGGCCATGAGAAGGGGAAGTCTCCCATTTCGGGCTGGCGCTGGAGGCTAGGCTGGATGGGCACCATGTTGACGCCATGTATTTGCATATGTGCTGGGCAGTGGTCACAAGAATGAAAACACACCCCCCCACACACACGTACACAATGCTGGAAGTAAACTGTGGACTGGGGACAGCATCTCAAGCAGCAGGAATAATAGACATCCTGTGACTGTGGGTGAATGGAGCACCGACAAACAGACAGACAGCATACAAGACACACCCCTACACACACTTCACACACCTGATTGTGGATGGTGTGCATGGGAGGGCAGCCCAAGCTGACACTCCACTCCCCGTGAGAGTGTGTGTGTGTGTGTGTGTGTGCATTCACACATGTGAGAGACGGGGAGCAGTGGTTGAGATAGATGGGAGGGTCACAAGAGGGGACAACATTCACAGTGCGACCCTGCCCTCGGCAGCTAAGTCAGAGCAGGGATGTGGGCTCAGAGATGAGTAGCTCTCTCGGTGCGTGGGCGTGCAGGTGTGCACATGAGTGTAGTGACAGGGATATCGAGTGTGTGACAGAGAGTGTGCAGGAAACTATGTCCCCACGCAGTGGGTGTGTGTATGTGTGTTCTGGGCAGCAGTGAGGGTGAGCTGTGCACAGAAGAGTGAATGAGTGATTCTCAGTTTAAGAGCCCGAGCCCAGCAAGGGAGCAGCAAGAACCAGGAAACGGAGGGAGGGCCTGGAAAGCGGGAGAAGCTGGAGGGGCCGCATGAAAGAGGGATGTGTGAGGGAGACAGTGAAAGGGGGTGTGTGCGAGACAGAGACAGACAAGAGACACTGGCACCCAGTGTGTGCAAAGATCAGCTCTATCCAGCCTCCCCCAGAGGCAGCCCCAAGTCCCTCCCTTGCTGGAGCCCCCCAGACATCCTTCCCCCATTGCCCTTGTTTGGTGGGGAGAAGAATCTAGCCACAGAAGAAAAAGGTAGCAAGAGATAAATAAGGGTCAGTGGGTCTGGTCGCGTCATGGTGCATCCCTTCCCCACAAGCTGACCGGCTTCGGGCCCCCAGGCCCACTCCAGGACCCCCGGCCCCCAGACCTGGGCACTGCAGCAGCAGCAGGGCCACGAAGAGGAGCGGCAGCAGCAGGGTAAGCCCCAACAAGCGTCCACTGCTCCATGGCTGGGGAGCCAGAGGGAAACACCAGGCTTCGGGGAGACACGAGGCCAGCCCCTGGTGGCGGAAGGAAGGGAAGCCCTGTTGAGGATGCCCTGCGCACCCCCACCCCCCCTGCCAGCCTCTGGCCTCCCCAGGCCTGGCGGGCCAGCTGGCAAGACTCACCACAGAGAAGTTGCTGGCGGAGCAGTGGTGCCCACTGAAGTTGCAGCTCTTGAGCATGTCGGCAAGCTGGTGGCCAGTGCGATTGAGGATGTCTACCATGTCGGGCTCCGGGTAGCGCAGGCCGGCAGCACGGTGGCCGTCCCGGTCTTTGGGGGGCAGCCCGGTCAGGTTGGCCAGGTGAAAGATGTCGGCGTCGCTGAGTGCCGAATGCCGGAAACGGTTGATATTGCAGAGGGTGACAGCTGGGAAGCCCGCCACTGGGGCTGGGGCAGCAGGGTCCATTACCACCAGGTGAGGCCGGGTCAGGTAGCCCCGGGCCAGACCAGCCGCCTGGTACAGGAAGGCAGCCAGCGAGCTGAGTAGGGCCAGTGCCCACAGGGTTCTGCGCAGTCCATGGGGGCCTGGGCCACAGGCCCGGCCCAGCCCGTGCAGAGTGCTGGTGCTGGCAAAGGTGGCCAGGTCCCGGGGGGCTGCTGCCCTCCGCGCAGCCCCCAGGAGGCTCTGCTCATCCCCTGCCTCCTTCTCCTTAGGTTTCGCATCCTCCTCTGCAAATTTGATTTTGCACACAATCTCGATCGGCATCTGTCCCCGGCTGCTGGGACTGGCCGGAGCCTCCCTGCCCCTGTCCCTCCCTGGCCAGCAGCCCCCGGTGCCCTCCGGAGTGGCGGCGGTGGCAGCGGCTGCTCTTCTAAACTCAGGGCAATGGGAGGAGGACGGGGACAGGGTGGGGGCCTGAGGTGGGGGAGTCACTCCCACTCCCAGCAGCTCCGCAGCCCTGGTGCTGCCTCTGCCGCTGCTGCCTCTGCTGCCGCTTGTCTCTCTCCTCGATCGTCTCCTTGTGGCTTCCCTTATCAGCACCAGCACAGCTGTCAGCCCCTGCGTGTGTCCCTGCGAGCGAGCGAGTGAGCGAGGGAGCGAGAGCGCTGCTCCGCCACGCCGCGCAGCCCCAGCCGCTCCGCTCAGCATGTGCTCCGGAGCCCACCCCGTGCTTAATAATTCAGGACATGTCAACAGCATTTCACCGGCGGCACGGGCGGCAGGAGCCAGGCCAGGGAAGGGGGCAGCCCCCAGCCCAGGACAGGGATCCCCTGTCCCTGTCTGAGACCTCCTTGGGCTTCCCCCCAAACTCTTGCTACACTCCAGCCACTTGTGGGGTCCCCACATGGCCCCACTCCCAGGCCACCCAGGGAAGAGTGTCGCACCCAGAATCTTCAGCTCGTTTTGCCACTTTCCTGGACCACGCCCCAGGAAGGGTCAGTCAACTCTATCCCCCACTTCCTGGCCTCCCTGACTCTTGACTCCAGCACCCAGCCACTACTGACCCCAATACCCGACTCACAGCGGCTTCCAGAAACTCCTTGGGAGAGCCACTTGTTTGAATGAGGGAGGGGAGGGGAGGGCAGAGGAGGGCAGGCAAGACAGACAAGAGGACAATGGTGGTTCCACTAATATTCTTGGCTCCCCTAGAGCTTTGCTTCTGACTTAACACTGACCATACCTTCTCTGGGACTCTGGCCACTCTCTCCCCAACTTCACCCCTACCTCCAAACTCAGTCTCTCATGTGTCTGGGACAGAGGTCACGCTGGCTGACTTGCACATCTGTGGCCACTTTACCTTCCAAATGTTTCCCAAATCCCTTGCCACAGCCAGGCTAGGGGTGGGGGGAGCGTATATTGGGTAGACAGGCCAGGGAGCAGAGAGGTGTGATGTTGTGGGGAGGGTGTCTGAAAAGCCCAAATGGGGATATTGGAGGGAGTAGAGATGTGCTGGGTTTGAATGGGAGGGGGTGCAATCCTAAAGAAACAGATGCAGGGAGTGCCTGGCAGAGAGGGGCAGGGGAGCCCTGGGGTGGCTGCCATCTTGCGGAGGGCAAGCAGGCACGTGGGCTGTTATCACGGACAGGGACGGGGCCCCTGGTGGCCAGCTGGTGGGAGGAAATGATGCCTTGGCGCCCCCAGGGTGGGGTTGGTCACAGTGAGCAGCTTCTGCTCTGGGCCCGTGTGAGAGCTTGAGACCTCACAGGAGAGGAAGCACTTGTCCCCCAGAAGAAAGGGGGAGCTGATTAATCGGGGCGCTAATGAGCAGCAGGGAGCGGAAGCTCAGAGGGGCGGGGGAGGCGGCTCCATCGATCCGAGCCGCGGAACCAGCAGCTGAAAAAAAAGTGAGAAGGGAATCGATCCGAGGGAAACGGCAGCTGCTGGGGATTAGAGCCTGAGGTCCACCCGCTGCCCAGCGGCCACCCCTCCCCTGCGGCAGGCCTGCCCTGCCAGTCGCAGCCCCTGCCTGGTCTGGGAAAGGGGCCCAAGGATGGCTCCCCTGGGGAGCAGGGAGCTGCTCTGCTCGCTGCAAGGCCAGGTCAAGCCCCGTCCATCACGGATTACCCCAGCATGGAGGCCACCCATACAAGCTGCACCCCCCCAACCCCAGCCCTGTGTGGCACCCTGCGGGGGTTGTCCCCAGGCTCTCAACAAAGAAGCTTCCTTAGCAGCCCTTTAGCTGGGCTTCCCACAAGCCAGCTCCCCCAGGCTGAGGAGATAGGACCTCTGGGGTCAGGGGCTGCATCTGGCAGCATCCCAGAGGGGAAGGGGGTTGGCACCGAAAGCAGCTGCTGAGTTAGCACTCAGAGTCTCCAAGTGACCACAGACAGTCCCCATCTCTCTGCCCCCCTGCCCAGGCAGCCCGCTCCCATGCTCCCCCCTCCCTGCTGGACTACCAGACCCTTTCAGAGCTTCCTCCTCCACCTCCTTACCCTTCCCAGCGCTTCTCTTCCCCTTTCTCCTGGTATTGATTTTTCTTTACTGGGTTTTTTTTTTCAAAGGTGATTTAATTGCTTTTTTAAGGTTACTTCAGTCTGGGGCTCTGCCAAGAAAGCGGGGAGCTGCCCCCCAAGCTCTCCCCAGCACTGGTTGCTGCCTAGGACTCAGTGCCTACCCCTAAATTGTCCTGCCATCCAGTGAAATCACAGGGTCATACTTCCCGACATAAGACATAACTGGCCTCTATGGGCCCAAAGCCCACCCTCTTTCCTCCTGAGGGGATGTCAGGAAGCCTTCAACCGCCAGAAGGAATGAAGTTGGGTGATAACCTGGTATAGAGGGGCAGGGTGGAGGAGGGTGGAGAGGGGAGTTCCAGGCCACTGGGAAGTGGAACAGCAGTTAGCTGCATGCACCACCCCCTCCCACCAGCTGTCTCCAATTGTCCCCAGGTCCCCATCATCCAGTCTCCTAGACCCCCAGGAATCTGGTTATGCTCAGTGGGAGTAATCTCCACATCCTTTCAGCCCATCCCTTGGCCTTTTACCCCCACTCCTCCAGTCTCTCTGTCACCCCTCTGCCCCCCTGTCCCCTTACACCCCTTTCCCCTCTGGCCCCCATCCTTTCTCCCTTCCCTCTCCCCGCTTCCCTGCCTGCCTCCCTCTCTGCCCGGCTGCAGTTGGGTGATAATCTCCCTCATTTAGCCTCCCGGCTGCTTCCCCGGCTCATTGCCCAGCTGGTCCCTGGGGCCGGGCCCAGCTTCTTCCCCACCCCCACCCCCAGCCCTGTGCCCAAGCTCCCCCATCCCTTCCAGGCTTCCCCCACCCGCTCTCAGGGGACCAGCTGCCCCCTGCAGTGAGCATCAGGGCCAAGTGTGGCTGGCCAGGACCCTAGCAGAGTGCAAGCAAGGGGGGAGGGTCCGCATAGGACTCTGGGGGTGGGAGTGTGGGTGCAGGGTGCCGGGGGCGGGGGGCGGTATTGGAGAGGTACAGGGTCAGGATGTGAAGCCTCAGCCAGGTGTCCTCCACCCTCCAGTTGTCCCCATTCCCCAGATTTGTTCCCAGTTCAATTCTCCACCAACCCACCCCCCACCCAAGGGCTGAACTAGGCTTTCCGACTGAAAGAGAACGGTGGATGGACTGAGACGCAGAGATTAGAGTGTCCCTTGTTACAACCTCACAAGGCTGGGGATGGGAATGGAGGCTGAGAGCTGACAGAGGGCAGGTGGGTTCTGACTCAGAACACCTGGCAGGGGGCATGGAGGTTTTTATTTGGGCAAAATGTTCCAAAAGGTAGGTCTGGAGACCTCCCAGGATCCAGCTTGGGGGTTCCAAGGAGCCTCCAAGGCTCATCCTGCACCCTGGCTCTTGGGGTTGCCTCTTCTCCCAGCATAGGATCCCCCAAGCTGAGCTGCTTTGGCCCCTTCCCACCATTTGTGGGCCTCAGACTCCCTGCCTGGGTGGCCTCGTTCATAAAAGACATGACCCCCAGTCTCCCAGATGGCATTCTCCTGGGGAGAGTCCTCGGCCTCTCTCTGCTCCTAGAGTACACCCCCTTGCTACCCTCCCCAGCCCAGACACCTGTCCCAGGCCTGGCTCTGGTGTGGACCAAGGCATAAGCCAGTGTGGGACAGACGTGGGCGGGAAGGGACAGGGATGGGGGGGTGGAGGCCGGGACTGGGCCAGGCCTGGCTGGTGAGCGAGCAGCGGTGACAAACGGGCTGTGCGGGGGCCGAGGGGCGGGGGGCGGATGGCGGCTGATTTATCTGGGTTATTTATGCCGCGGACGAGGCAGGAGAAGCGGTTAATGAGAGTCCCAGTGAAGGGGGTGGGGAGGCCTGGACGTGATCTGAGGCAACTGAAGAGGGTTAGCGTCCTGCCGCCAGGCCCTGCCCCCACTGCCCGCCAGCATTCTGCACCTCCAACCCTGTCCTAGGGTCAGCCCAGCCCAGCCCAGCCCAGCCCTGACCCGTCTCCTGTGGCTGGTACCAACAATTCATATCACTGCATCCCATTTTGGGGATGCCGAAGCCGAGACAGCTGGTCACTGGGATTGGAGAGGACCAGGTCCAAGATCAAGGGGTGGCTGGAGGAACTGGGAGGGGGGCCAGGAAAGGGAGGACAGGGAAGAAAGAAAGATGAAAAATCTTGGCTGGACAGAAACTGACCAAGTCTGTGGGGCCTGTGGGGTAGGGGAGGGGAGGGAAGAAGCCAGTGTGGGTAGTGGGTGGGCAGCTGGCAACCTTGGAGCTGAGGCTGGAGAGGGGAAAGGGCACCGGGGTGCAGATCTGGTGTGAGCCAGGAGTCATCATGGGGGCGTGAGGCAGAGACAGGCGAGTGGTGGGTGCTGGTCAGAGAGGAGAGAAAATGGGAAGGAGGGGGAAGAAGATCCAGGGAAGGCGGGGGAGAGGGCTTTGCAGCAGTGAAAGCTGCTAGGAGCAGATAAGGCGGCACAGCAGCAGGAGGGATTAAAGCTCTGAGGGGCAGCGGTGGGGGGTGCTCGGCGTGGGACTCAAGGATGAGGGGATGCAGGGATGGGAGGGTTGAGGGCAAGACATCAGGGCCAAGGAGATGACTGTGAGAAACAAGGGCTGCAAGAGGATTTAATCAGAGGCCAAAGGTGGTTATTGCCTGTTGGGGGAGGCAGTGGCAGGAAGAAGGGAATTCTGATCATCTCTGATGGTGAGGGGTTCTTTTCCACTACTGACGGAGCCCTCACACCCTGCACCTGTCAGGGTAGCAGAGCTAAATGGAGGGGTGCATTGCTGAGAGGAGGGAACTGGCAGACTATTGGGTAGAGGGGAAGAGGCAGGTGCCAGCCCAGGGAGCCGCTGAGCTCTGGCTAAAACTTGGACGTGCAGCACATGCAGCGCCTCCTTGAGGTGCCCAATGGAACACAGTGTTAAGGGGAACTCGACAACAGTCAAGAGTGCCCAGCCAGCCCACCCTGGCATGGAGACCCATCACATCCAGAGAAGCAAGGACCAGCATTTCAGAGGGGGTTTCTTTGTGGGGAGGGGCATCAGCATGGGGGGAGGACAGTGGCTTCCCCAGGCTCCAGCCTCAGATCAGTAAGCCCCTTACCACCCTCTGCCCTCTGGTTCTCCAAGCCTCCCAGAAGGGTGTGCTTGGGAAGGGTGAAGCTCCGGCTCCCTCCAGACGAGAGATGAGGGCAGTTCAGAGGTGGCCGGGGTGGTGGAGGGGAGCCTGGAGGGAAGGAAAGGGAGGAGGAAGGGGTGGGGGTGGCGGGCGGGGCAGAGTAATTGCATGTTTGTCAGTTCTCCCGTCTCTGCACATGAGGGAGCGTGTGTGGTGGTTGGTGTAGCTTCGCCTCGAGGAGTCTGTGTCTGTTGGCAGAGGTGTCAGTGTGTCTGTCTCAGGGGTCTGGGCTCTCCTTGGCCCCCACCCCCACTTTGTTTTTGGGGAG